TATGTTTATTTATTGTGATTTGATTTAATATTTGGTCAAAACTACCTTAAAATTAAAAAGAATATTAATTTAGGCTTGCATTAAATTATAAATAATGAAAAATACGATATCACCATAATACTTGGACATCTTATAGATACTAATAACTTCTATGAAAGCAGCATTCTTTAAAATACATGTACACCTAATTGACTTGAATTGAATTTAGTTAGCTGACAGATTATAAATTTAAACCTTCAACATTTTTTATAACAAAATTAATATAAGAATAAATTGATGCATAATACATGAAGTAGAAATTTGATACAATACTTTATAAATTTTAAATATATAGAACAATGAAATGGTATTTAAAATCCTTTAAATGATACTTAGCAAATAAAGTAATATTCTAATATTGATAAATATGTGTGTGCGCGCGTGCAAAAAAAAACAAAAGAAAAAAAAGAAAAAAAAAATAAGAAGAAAAAAATCTTTGAAGCATGTATTAAATTAAAAATTGTTAACATACATTCTTCCATATTTTAATAATTAGAGGCAATCAAATTTAGACTAATAATATTATATTCAAGAGAGAAAATTTTAATTATGATTATTTCAATGACTTGATGATTAAATTATATACAAATTGACTAATTAAATCATGAAGAGTCAACTTGAACACTAACAAGCACTGAAAAAAGTTATAGGCAATAAGAATATTAATTGAAGAAAGAATTTAGGCTAAAATTAGTGAATAATTTATTCATGATTAATAGTCATGGATGTAAGACCAATTTTTATCTATTTTTTTTGTTTAATGATAGTTAAATTTCAAGATAACTGCTATCAAATGCGTCAAGTATATGATAATATTACATGTAACTATTTGAGGACAAGAAATAGTTTGAGATTAGAGATATTTCTTAAGTGAGTTGAATAAAATAATTAATAATATTGTTTTGTTAAAAATTTATATTATTTTTGTATTTTATTATCATTAATTAGATTATCTTTTATAGAAATTCTCATAAGAGAAGAAATAAGATAAAGATCAAATAAAGTCAAAACAATGCTAGGTGCTACTTTCAACAATGTTGCAGCGCCATATAGAGCAGAAAATGGTGAAAGAAATATAAAGCATGATGTTTGAGTGTTGGAAAACTAATGTCGCAACACTAAATATGGTGCCTCAACGCCAGCTCTACAATGCTACAATGCTAGAACAAGCTCTATTTTCCCTTGATCTTCTTCTCTTAATGGGGCCATCATGGCATTTCATCTCCCTTGAACTCTTTACCTTGATCTAGTAGCAAGGCCATGAAAATTTGCAGCTTGATGTTATACATCATTGTCTGATGGGCAAGATCATAGATCCCACTATTGGGGTTTTCCTCACTCTAAGGCTGTAAGTCCCACCTATTCACTTTCCCCACTCTAAGGATTACACATCCTAAATCCAAATATAGAATTATATGCCCTAACCTCTAGTCGAATTAGCATCAAAAAAAGATGTGAGGGCACTTCAAAGCCACACAGCTTCTATGATAGTGTTATAAGTCTCGCTTTTATGCATCTACATCAAAGAAACTATAATCTCCACACTAAAGCTTCCTTTACACCCAGTGTTGAAAGTTGCAACAATTGCCTATTTCAACATATAAGCTTTCACCATCAGTCAAGCCATTCTAAATCACATGAAACGACCTCCAAAAACATCTTTGATCCTCCCTTAAACTTGGGGTTGTAACTCCCACTTATGGGTTTCCTTTTTATCGAAGTTGTAAGTGCCAACCCCTAATTAAATCTGTATCAACATCAACATGTGACAATCAAACATTACTCTCAAGCATGTCATTTCGTAAGCCTAAGACCTATAAAACAAATATGGGCATTCCTCTGGTATATAAAACCCTGCTTTTTGAAATCAATCGTTGGGTCAATTCATGTTTGATCACTTAAAGCTTAAAATTGTTGTGAGTTCCTAATATACCTTAAAGCCATTGGATGCTATGACTTCTTTAGTTCAAACTTGCGTACACCATAAGTTCTTTTTCCAAACTGATATGCTAAAATTAGCTCGACATTTTGCAAATGCTTCGATTCTTATATTGAAAGACACCTCTATAGAGAGCATAAAATTCCACTCCATAGCCCAAGTTGATCAAGGAACCTATCCTCGAGGCAACCCGTGAACATGACACATACCTTCTTCCGCCTTAATTTAAGGTCTATTTGAGATAGCTTTCTCACTATATTTTCCGGCCGCTACCATGCCTCTATTTGACTGATGTATTTTTACTACTTTTTAAAAATTTTTATGTGAGAATCTATTTTTAATAATCAAATCTGCTAGTATGTGGTAGGTACAAGAAATTTGTTATCTAGTTTTTAGAAAAAGGAAAATATTTAAAATACTCACAACATTTTTTAAAAAGTTGATTTCTCCATAACAAGCTTTTAACCAATTTTATAAAAAAACTACAACCACCGAAGGAAGCATTCATGAAAGTCAACTATCAAGTGAAAATGTTTGATATAGATTACCATAGTTTGAGTACTTGTAACATGATATCCACATCCATATACACCATACATGTGTGCCCTGTGATGCTCTCGTTTTGGGTAAGCCTACACTTATTTTGAGCGGTTAAATTGATCATGCCAATGCCTATGAGTCATACAAACTGCGCAAAATGCCTCTAATAACTTCCATGTGTATTATATTGCATTTAGGCAACATAAACTTTTGATAATGCCACGGACATAAGTATTATGAAGCCCCAAGGGATAAAATTAAAAACTATAAAAATAGTATGATGTCTTTAATCTTCAAATGTAAATTTAACTCATAAACATGGTTCAAAACATTTAATACTAGGACGGGTTATAAATTAAGTTTGAGTGTGTTTGCCTTGATCAAGGTTTTTTATATTTAAAAGTCAAGTTAAAAACCTACCTCAACATTGAATCAAGTCGAACATGTTAGCACTATGAGCCAAATTGGATTATCATGTGACTTATTTAGCTTGATGATAACAAAACTACATTTGTATCACTTAATGATTTGACAAACAATTTCACAGATTTACTACTCAAAGATATAACCATGAAAACATGAACAAAGTACTAAGAAGGTATGATGCTTTTCAATCATGGAGACATGTTTCAAATGGAGAATTTAACGAGATGCAATGATGTAATGGACCAGTCAAATAAAAATTACTTAGTTTAGATGTGCAAGTGTCCATAAAAATTAATTGAAATTGAGTTAGAATGGTTCTCATTTTAAAAACAAAAAAGATGTCTGAGGAGTGGAGGAAGAGTATTTTGGTCCCCATTTTTAAGAATAAAGGGGATGCACAGAAGTGTGCAAATTATAGAGGAATTAAGTTGATGTGTCATACTTTAGAATTATGGGAGAGGGTAATTGAACATAGGTTAAGACGTATTACAAAGATTTCTCATAATCAATTTGGATTTATGTCAGGCAGGTCTACTATGGAAGCAGTACATCTACTGAGAGGTTTGATAGAGAAGTTCAAAGATAATGAGGATCTACATTTTATTTTTATTGATTTAGAAAAAGCTTACGATAAGGTTCCAAGAGATATCCTTTGGAGAGTTCTTGAGAAGAAAGGTGTTGATATAACTTATATTCAAGTCATTAAAGATATGTATACTAGAGTTGTTACATCCGTTCGAACTGAAGGAGGATTGACCAAATATCTTCCTATTTCTGTTGGATTACATCAGGGATCGGCTTTAAGCCCATAACTTTTTGCTTTAGTTATGGACGGTCTTACTAGACATTTACAGGAGGATGTACCTTGGTGTCTGATTTTTATTGATGATATCCTTCTCGTGGATAAGACGAGATAAAAAACCCAGAAAAAACTTGAATTATGGAAGTCTACATTGGAGTATAAAGGCCTTCATTTGAGTAGAACTAAAACTGATTACATGGAATGTAATTTTAGTAGTAGCAGCTCTAGTGACAGAAGTGTAACTTTAGGTGATCAAATTATTAAAAGGTGTGAACGATTTAGATATCTCAGGTTGTTGTTCAAAGCGATGGTGATACAGATGGGGATGTTAATAGTAGAATTCAAGTTGGTTGGTTTAAGTGGAGGAATGCTTCGGGCCTTTTGCATGATAGAAAAGTACCGCTTACACTGAAAGGAAAATTTTATAAGATGGTGGTGAGACCTACAATGCTCTATGGCGTTGAATGTTGGCCTTTAAAAGAGAAGCATAATAATGAGTTAAGTGTTGCTGAGATGAGAATGATTAGGTGGATGAGTGGCTTTATACTTAGAGACAAAATGAGAAATGAATATATCTATGACAGGTTTGGTGTAGCTCCAGTAACGGACAAAATTAGAGAGATTCGTCTCAGATGGTTTGGTCACATTAAACGACGACCATCTGATGATCTGATAAGCAGAATAGATATTTTAGATTTAATTTATGTTAAGAAAGGCAGAGGTAGACCTAGGAAGACTTGGGCTTATTGTATAATAAATGATCTTAATTTATTAGAACTAAATGAAAATATGACACTAAATAGGACGCATTGGAGAAAAAAGATACATGTAGCCAACCCCACGTAGTGGGATTGAGGCTTTATTGTTGTTATTGAGTTAGAATGGTTCCATGGTTTAAGTATGCATGACCACATCTAATAGAATAAAATTATTTCTTTTTATATTCAATCATATTTTAAATAAGTTATATGAAGCATTTGTAGGGTTGTTTCCACACACCTATGTTAGAATCAGTGATGCTAGTTTCCACCAACGGAGGGCTAGACTTTATGGTACTTTTGGGATCCTTAAAATTTAGAAACGTGCAATTATAGCCGAAGTAAAATATAAATTTATATAAAATGTAACGTACAATTTGCCATTGTGTGCATACAAAGATGAGGGTATTGTTTTTAACATAGAGAGAGCCCTGAATGGCAGCATCTAAAAAGGTATGGAAAGTCCAAAGGTAGCTTAAAGAAAAGGACTACATACATGCCATCATGTTTACCCAGTGGTTCATCTAATTGAATTCCAACCCAAAACCCAGGGGCTCCATTCTCCACTTTGCCAACATACTTTACAACTCCTCTTTTCTCTCCAGACTCAACTTCACATCTGTCTCCGGCCTATATGAAGAAAGTGACATGATTAAAAAAAGAAAAGAACAAAAAGAACGTCCGTGAAATAACATCAAGCAGGAGATTCTACTACACAGATAACGTTTGCTATTCTTACAAAATTAAACACAGAAAAAAAAATAATAATAATTTAAAAGTTGTCGAGGTGGAGATTCGATCACTTGTTTCCATTGCTTCATATTCCCATGAAATGAATCACAGTAAAGATAAGGATTACCTTAAAAGCTCGAGTCATAAGGACAACTTCTACTCTGAGCTGCTGAATAAACATAGTGAATTGAAAGTAACTGCATGTGATGTGACATTTTTATCTCCTACTTAGTCACATGGGGCAACTTCTACTATACTTGAGCTGTGAATTGAAAGTAACTTCATGTGATGTGATATGCACAATTACCAACGTACACTGCAGAAACTAAATGTGGTGTGATAGTCGGAATTGCCATGCCTGCGGAATAAACATGGTGAATTGGAAGTAACTGCATGTGGTGAGATATTTTTATCTCCTTAATGAATACCGAGGAATGCAGATGATGATTATGTACAACCCTGCTATAGGTATTACGCCAAGATAGGCGGACAAAAAGATTAAAAATTAAAGTAGCTATTAAAGTTCATCTGTATTATAAGATAGGATGTAACACCAAAATGAACCAATTAGAACGCTAAGAACAAAAAATAAAGGTAGGCCATGGGATGCCACTGAAAGCCAAAGAAAAAATAACTCTTGTGTTAACAAATTATCACAATAGTTACTAGCCAAAATGCATACCATATAAATTTCTTTTACAGGTATAAATATAGATAATAAAAGAAACAATACTGACCTTAATGTTCTTGCATAGATCTTCCAAGTAGTTCTCTGGTAGCTGAAACATGAATCGAAAGTGAGCAAGGTTCTTTCTACATGAAAAAAAAAATTGAGGGAAAGAAGGATGCACAGCACCAGATAGAATATATTTGTTATGACTTACAGTAGAAAGAAATTAGCACCAAAACTTTCCAAAATAACGGGTATTTCAAATATGGATGTAATTATGTTTATAATTTGCAAGATGAAAACATGGATTACAATGCTAAACCATATTTGATCATCGAGCTTGAAACACACGCAACAATAATAGCAGGACAAAACATAAAGCTTACTTTGTTTTCATCAGCTGTTGCATTTTGAGATAGCATCTTCTCCTTAAATTTTCTAAAATTTGCTGAAAGCATGGAAAATTTGTAATACACAGTTTAAGTGGAGTAACGAATGCCAATTAACATAGATAACAGAATATGGATGATATCAAATCAAGAAAATAGGATATTTATAAGTTCATCTCATTTCAATAAGAAGATCAATAAGAGAGGAGAAAAATCCATCTATAAAAGCGAAAGACATTAGCTCTTATTATTTTCTCCTCACTTTTTTCTTCCACTAACAAAATCATATAATGAGCCCAAAAATATCAAATGGAAAGGACTATATTTATTATTAACACATTTGTTAAAATTATATAGACATAATCAGACATCACATGATGGCCTAGCCTACAGATTTTGTTAAGTATGCATTCATGTATATTTCATTATTTGATTTGATGATAACAAATATGGGTACTGACAAGTTATAGTTTGTTAAGTGTTTGCATTAAAAGTTTATCATTTCACAACAATCATCAATATGATAAAGAGATTAACTATGCAAAATTTCAACTACTTGGAAGAGTGATAAAGTGTTGTAGTCATAAAGACACCAACAACTTAGTATAATGTACTTAGAATTCAATGTAAAATTTTCTTGATTTGATTATCATGCAGCTTAAAGAAATGAACAAGTGATAAATTAAAATTCAGCTTGTTAAAAGCACAATTCAATGTAAGGCGATGCAACACAATGAAGGAATGCTTTATCTCGTGTTCGCACAATAACTGTGCACAAAGCAGATGCTTCATGCCATTGAGCATTTGAGTGCTCTAGTGAAGTGCGTGAAGCACATGAAACATAAAAGCATTGGCATATAGCCAGATTTTGCAGGTTTAGGATTTATTGTAAGCTCTTACAATTATTTTCTTAAAATAACTGATCTAATATAAGGCTTCGAGGATCTTCGAGCCAGCTTCAATCTTGACTATATAGCAGCCGAGATCTTTAACTTAACTGAGCCCACAAGCTTCAATGCAATAGTCATGACCTCGACCTCCATCAATGTAGCAACCACGACAAGCTCACTACCGCCAAGCTCGATCTCTATCATCTATGCAGTCTTATATATTCTTCTACATTAACTATAATATTTTTTAGGGTTTTATGAGAATATAATATTTGTTATTTTGGAGCTTAAATTAAATTAATAAACTCACTTAAAACTTAAAAGAAAGGTGTCAATATTCTATTTTAAATGGATTGCAGAAATTTCTAAATCGAACTTTACAAAATTTAATTGCACTTGAAAAGAAAGAAAAATTAGTTTAACAAAATTTACTTGAATGAAAATTATATGAATTAATGAGAGGATAACGACTACTAAATTTCCTTACTTTTGACTTTTTGCATTTAAATTTAGCTTTTTCTATGATTTAAACATATTATCTATGAGTTTTGACATCAAACTACTATATTAGTTTGGAACTGCTAATCATCTGTTAATTCCTAAACATAGTAAAAAATTTAAAAAATTGATTTTATAGGTTCAGTTTTAAGGATTTGTTTAAATTTAGTATATAAATTAATATTTTTTCAAGTTTACATCAATTTTTAAGTCATTTATTAAATACTTTGTCTTCTGCAATGATTACTGAATATATCATTATATTTATTGAAAACTATTACGTGATTTGATTCAAACAAAAGATATATAAGTTATTAAAGTTCTATTTAATAAAAATATTACCTCACTTTACGCATTGAGACAAAAGGGAACCCCCATACATGGCATTTCAGTTTGGGCTTTGGAAACAATGATTTAAATTGTAGAAAACATTTTTTTTCAAATATATATAATTATTCTATAATTTTTTTAGTATTTAACAAGGTAGACTTTCTTTTATTTCAATATTTTACTCAATTAAGTTCAATATTATCTTATGTTGTGATCATACACTTAATTGGCTAATCATTATGATGATCATCATATATGAGGATAATACCAGACAGGAGGTGTCTTTCGCCCCTGAAAAACCCCAACAGGGGGTGGTCTTCCCCCCCGAAAACCCCCCCCCCCCCCCCCATGACAATGTTGTTACTGTCACTGTGAGTGATGTGAAACCCCATAGAAAACAATACTGATGGACTATTACCTACAAGTGACAGTGTTCAGACTGATAATCAAAAGAGTCTCGTAGCTCCACTTCTTCAGGAAACATCTACAATAAAAGATCAGCTGGTACAACAAATAGTTGCTTCTAATGTTTAACAACCTACACATATTCGGCGCACTTTAGACCATTTCCCACCCCATTAGACTGATTCTTCAGATGAGGAATGGCAGGTCTATTACAGAAGGAAGAAGAAGAATGGAGGTCGACTCCAGCTCAGGAACATATTGAATGATACATTGATTACTACTGGCAATGGCGATCATCTTACCAGCTTATTAGCTTGCTCCTTTCCTAGAACTAGAGGCAGAGGCAAGACCAAATTGTGTCTCTCTCTAGCCACCTGATTCTATGTATTTTGGCACTGTTAGGCTTTTTATTTAAGTATTTAATGTAATTTTTTGTTTGTTCTTGTTTTGAAACCTTTTGTTGTTTCTGTGTGGGCAGGGTGTCATGCTTGGGCCCTCCCATACATTGTATATGTATTTTTCTTTCTATTTAATATATTAGCCTTTTTGGGCTTTTTTAAAAAAGAATATATATATATATATATATATAAATTAAAAGAGCAACACGTGGCTCCTTACGCGTTAATATTAAAGTTATAATATTGGAGAGGGATAGTGGATTCCCATCTAAAAGCAAAATAAAATACATCATGTTCCTAAAGGTTTCACTTTTCACAGCACAACTCCACGCAAAAAGCAAAGAAAAGAGTGAAGTGTAAAAACACCCAAAAATTATATGTAAACCCGCAAAATATATACTGAAAGAAAAAAAAAAGAATATATATATATATATATATATCTATTGTGTGTGTTGCTTATTTGCATTTAATATGAAAATTATGTCATTAATCACCAAATGAAAGATTATGTGATTAATTTAAATATCACTGAACTTCTTTGATTAAATGTTTCTCATTTTGAAAAGTTTACATGATTTTGTATCATTCTTACATAGCAATGAATTTTCCAATATAAGTTAACTATGCTTAATTTTATCAAATAAAATAATAAGTTTCTATATAATATATTTTTAATAGGTATTTTTGTTTGAAACTTTTATAGCAGCTATCAAGCATATATATCCTAACACAACATTTTACACTTTTGGAGCTTTTATTATAAATTAAATTTCAAGAAAATATGCAATAAGTACCAATAAATAAATTATATTATAATGAATGAATTTTAGAAAATTCTTATTTCATTGGGTTAATTGACTTTTTGCTGGTGATTTAAAATAACAAATGAAATATTTTATATTAAAAATAAATTTCTTACAAATATTCTGAAATTAGTGCTTTCAATAGACCAATAGACCAATAGACCTAACCAGTCGTAATATAGCGGTTTGTAGCTTGAAAAAAATACTATATGAAGCAAACCATATAATACCATCCACCAAAAAGCCATTGAACGACCTTTTGACTTGGGATTTCTTTAGGGCCTGCTCCCACTCATTGGAAATGTGATTGGGGTTAAGAGGCTAATGATTCCTCTAATGCTTACATGTAACAATTCAGAAGGGAAGATGTTTGAAGGAAATAATCTATTGAGATTAAAGTGCTCATAATCCTAAGCTCAATGATCTTCATGGTGTAATTGATCTCAAAGATTTTAAAGTGTTTTTCATTATACTATTTCTTTCCTGTAATTTATAAATTATATTTTTCATTTGTGAGGTAATTCACATTTGAGTCGCCCCCAAAAGCTCAAGAGAGCTTTGATTTAGAAGATTTTTTTCTTTTTTTTAGAGAGGGATTGTTTAAGCCATTGAGAATAATGTGTTCGAGTAGTACTCACTCATGGAGAGAGTATGGATTGTGGGATTCTTTATTCTCAAGTACTGAGATTACAAGTTAAACTTTGGGTGGTAGAATTCTAGTCTGAATGTTGGCAAGTATGAAAGTAGGCCATAGGGTGGTCGAATCACATCCAAAATTATGACTTACATCCATATAGCTTTTAAGTTTTTTGCACTTAGATTTTAATTTACATATATTGTTAAGGACCCTTATGTCATTATGGTGATATGTATAAAAATTGATAGTCACTCAATTTCTTATATGCACCCAATTATCTTTGGTGTTAATAGATTAAATTGAAATAACTGGTGTGGTTAACAACTAATATTGTGATTAACAAGTCAAAAACTCAATCACATTATATGATTATTTAACATCTAAGTTATAATGTGTGATGTGTTTTGGTTTGTATTTTTATTTTTTAAATTTATTTATCTTCCATTAATAATATAATGTGTTTAAAAAGACTATTTTTATAAAATATCAATTCACCCTCTCCCCTTTTGATGTGTAATTTGATTATTAAACTTATTTCTATAAAGTGACCTACTACCAAGTAAAAATAGACATATTCCATGATTCAAAAAAAACATGTGCATGTGTTGATCTCATTTTTAGCGAGGTCTAGTTTTCTTCTTAGGATTTAGGATCTAGCCTTAGAATTCGCTCTTTGACTATCTTAGAGACTTAAAAATGGGACCCACCTCATTTTAGAAGTCCAAATTACTTCTTTACCCTTTTGGAGTTCCGCATGTGTAGTTTTGGTCTCTAACACTTAGGAGGCTGAAACCAATATGATGAAACTCAAAAGGAGTCCCTATAGAATCATTAAGCCCTAGGATTGCGTTCTGCACAATTTGCACTTTCACGCATAAAATTCACAATTCAGACAATCGACAAGTTAAATATTGCAATTCACGTCACCTGCATCTTTATATGTTGCATAATTAATCGAAACAAAAATTAATTTCCAAAACGATCGATCACGGACTCCAAATTTCGACGAAAAGTGAATTTGATGTGTTTTTAACTTAATCGTCGACAAGGTTGTCCGAACGGCCCTTGATCACGAAATGAATTGCATCGATGCGTCCG